TTGAATGATCTGAATGTTTTAGAAAGTTCCTTCTTTGATGTTAAAAACTCCCTCAACCCTGACACGAATACGGTAACTCTAAACCATAGTCTATTTTAAACAATTTACTTTGAGCGACTTTGTTGTAACAAGACCTGCCTGCCGACTATATGAACTTGAAATTTCTCCATTTCACGTGTTGCTGCATTAGGTTTCATTGTAACATTGTCTCTGACGATTCAGAAGCTGTTTTCTTTGAAACGTCGCAGCGTTGTTGCGAAAAATTTATGCAAATTAAAACAATTATTTCCACGAAAACAATATAATACAAAACAAAATTCTCACAAATTAAACAGTTTTTGAAACTGTTAATTAGCTGATCATTTTATGTGAGTCGTAAAAAGCAGTTCCTTTATTCAACTCATAATTATATCCAAAGTCTCTACGACTTCTCGAATTAATAAAATTAGAATGACGATGTCAAATTCTATTAGAGAATTTATTTATGACCTGATCATCATATGGTTCAAAATAATGTCAGCTTAATTTTATCAAGACATTCATTACACAAGCTGGTCTAAAAGTATGACTTTATGAGGGTTGTATGGCTCAATAAATAGTGGCACCACAGAATAGGTCTTTTGCACGATAAAAATTAATAAATCAACAACAAATAAAATGTTAGAAAAAAAAACTTTCATACATACCTAATATTTTAATATCCACGTTTTCTTTGAAATGTAATGTTAATTGCTTTCGAAAAAAATTTCAGGCTCATTATTAGGTACTCGTGAGACACCCTGTTAAAGTTCTTGCATTTTGGTAATAAGATAAGAAAATCTGACTAAAGTTGTAAGTAATTTTAACTATGGAACCCAATAAAGAATCATTTCGGCTAATAACTACTCCTACTTTATTATTTATAGATACCTGTACCGCTATAAGCAGCTTGCGAATAATGCCGCAAATACGTGAAGAATAATATAAAACTCTTGAGGTGGGTTTACAGAAAGTGAATTAAATCAAAATTAAGTTAATGGCAATTAAGTTCAAAATCCTGAAATCTTTCATCAAAATTCAGCCAAACACGTAACGAATTAAATTTAATTGCAATCAAATATTTATTTTAATTCGGCTTCTATAAACCCACCCTTGGCCTCTTGTCGTTTTATTAGCTTTTGCAAGTCGTTTTATTATCTTTTGCAATCGTCATAAATATTTTTTTAGGTCCCACTGTTGAAGTCAGATTCCCATACCCAAACGTATGTTACCATTTTTACCTACCATTTTATGTAAAAAAAAGAAAAACACAAAGTTTACCACACGATAAGACATTTCGAGTTAGTAGAATTCTTTGTAACAAGCGATTACATTACGACGAAAAGTCAAAAAAACTGACTCATGCCACAATAGAAAACTCCCATTTCCTTGATAATCTCCCAGAAAGTGGAGATTATACTGTAAGTACATACAAATCTACGGTGTTTACATTATTTAAAGTAAGCAACTGATATAATTACACAATGTTTAAATACATATTTTAGTTAATAAATTTCCAGATCTACGTAGTGCGGTCATTGATTTTTAGTATTTCTGATTGCAGCAGTGTTTTAAACAGATTATTTTCCTCTATTTAAATCTGTTAATCACCATTTACATGTTTCTCGTTTATTACCGAGTTTTATGGGATTGAAAGAATGTTGAATTTCAGAAATCAAAAACAATTTTATATCTTGTGGGTCATGAAACACATTTTTACTTTTTCGCTTAGACTCTGTTTATGTGTTTAATGATTGATTTATTTTACTTGGGATTTACAAAAATTCCGTGTTACTCTTATTTTAGGGCAATTGCACTCTGTTAAATTTCAAAGGTGTTATCAAGTTGTGTTATATAATACTTAACTATAATTCTGTTTGGGTTTTGTCTACAAATTTTGTAATAAACGGGGCAAAAGTAGAATTATACCAATTTAATACAAGTTTTAGACATAATGACTGTATAGGCAAAAAACTGCTATAACCGTCAGTTTACCACAGAATAATTCGTTTTAAGAATTGCCGTGTGTGGGCTGTATTGCACCATATTTTGTGACGTTTTATTGACATTTCACCCTCTATACCCACTCATTCTCTCACCAGGGTAACATAATATTACCACTTAATTTAGACCTCGATGCGGAAGTAAGTATATTTCCTGCCATAATTAAAAGATCAAGACACAAAATCAATAATCCACTTAGGGAAATGTATTTTCGTCCATTAATAATTCCATGTATCGTTGACAGATTACTTTTTTTGTATTTTATCTTAAATCAACAACAACTGTTGACGTGTTTAATATAGTCTGATATAAACATATAGAATGTATCACCCGGATATCGTATGAACGAATTAACTATACTCAGCATGTGAAAAATAAGGCCTTCCTCTGGAAATAGGCGTTTAACGCCGGAAATGTTTTAGATCACGGATGTGAACAGTGGCGTAGCATCATAAAAAAATATCAAAGTTAGATGTGTTGATTTAAAACTTTAATAAAAAAGTTTTCAAAAGATTGAATAAAATAAATGCAGATGTTTCATTCTCGTTAAAAATAATTTTCTGGTTTTATTAAAAAGATAGATCAAAAATGATTTTTTTGAAAACTCATTTTAGTCCCTAAACAGCAACGATTCGTCCGCAAAAACTGTCTTCTAGGTACTTGTAACAAAAATAACTATTTTAGGGCAATGATCATCTTAGATTTTTAACTACAAATTAACCTACTGTTAATTTTTATCAAAATCCTAAAGAGTAAAAATATGTAGAATCCCTAATTTGTGCCCATTAAAAATTAAAAAGATTAGCAAAAAACGCGGTTATGAATTAAAAAATCAGGAGAAACAATTTACATATCGAAACAACCTGTATACTACAGTCACTACAGGGTGTGACGAAAAGATGAGGACAAAGAGTAACCTGAGAGTCCTCAGGTCAAAATAAAGCCATTTAAAAAGACGCCAAAGTTTGAAAATTGTTCTCGTTTCTCTTTAATAAATTTTTAATGGAATAAACGATTTTTTCAAAGTTGGCAGAAGCAATTTGTCCTATTTCTTTTGTTTTATTATTATCATTGTAAAGAACTTTCCTTAACACATTTTAAGTCATCTTTTTTATTATACGTTATCCGAGTGTTAGATAGATAAAATGATAATCTCGCTTAATTTCAATATTTATGAATTTTTTTGTTTTTTTGTTTAAATTATTTATTAATTACATTATTGTTAACTAGCACAAACATATACATAAAGAAACTAAAACGTAGAAATTTTTCTAACACATCTTTAAACAATAAATAAAAACAATAAATCATCAAAATACATATGTGGTTTTGACAGCAAATTGCCTGTATCAAATTTCATAAAAATTGATTACTCAATTAAAAAATTATTAAAGAAAAACGAAAATAATTTTTAAACTTTGGCGCCCTCTAACTTTTAAACGGTCCAACTAGGTAAGTTGGGTTAATTAAATTGCTTTATTTTAACTTGGGGACTTTCAAGTTACTCTTTGTTCCTATTTTTTGTTTTTCGTTACACCCTGTATATTAAAGATATACCTACTTGTAAAGTTTGCGTTGTCAAAATATTATTGTTTACAAACTTGTAATACTATAACGTTTTGAGGTTGTGAGTATTTGGTAAATGATGAGACAGAGGATGCATAACTTATATTTTTGTAATACCGTACAAGGTGAATAAAAAGTATAAAACTAAGCGGGTTTTTTGCCTTCGGAAAAACGATTAATACAAATTAAAATACTATAAAACTTGGATTGTGTTTTCAAAATGAAATTTTGTTTTGTCTTTAAGTTGTGTGATTTTTAATGTCAAAATGGCAATTTATAAATACGTAAGAAAAATATTTTTTCAATAAAAATTAAATAAAATGTAGATAGTTGTAATCCTTAGATCATAGTAAAAAAGTTTTATATTAAATTGCTCTTTAATGAGAGGAGTCACCTAAAACCTTTTGCGTACGTGGTGCATACCGCATTTTTTTGTTAAAGCTCCCAAAACACGAATTTACACCTCTTATTAATTAAAAAAAATTTCGTTACCATAGTAACTAATTTTATTTTTTAGTCCGCAAAAGCTGTTTGGGGACTGAGTACCTAAAATAACCGTTTTGCGTACGATTTTATTGAGTCCGGAAAAGACTCATTTTAGAGACCGTATACAAAAAAATAGTTTATTCATAATTATCTGCATTGTGTCATAGTAGAATCTTTTAAATTCATATCAGTACAGATTTTTATTTAATCTACAAACTAATAAATAGTAATAATAGTAATAAATGATAATACACCAAACAGTACATGGATTGTTTCTTCAAAGTACCACTCTTGGCGTTATCATCCTCTACAAGAATATTAAATTTAGAGAACTCTTTAATGTAAAAGAAGTGAAGAGTGTTCGTTCAGTCTTTATTTTTGGATTGTTTTCGCTTTATCAATGTTGAATGAAAGCTCATCTGCGAATAGAAACATTAAAGATGATGTCTTCGGGAGCGTATACAAAAAATATATATACTAGGCTTATCTTCAATTTGTCCTTTTGCTATGTTTATAATTAGACAAATAATAATAACTAATATTCCTAGAATGTAACTAAACAGGGCTTTCTGACGTTGTAAAACCAACTTTGTTATCTTTTTAAATAAATAAAAGTTAAATTGTCCTTTTTCGCAATAACGAGCCAGAGTGTAGGGGAGATGACCCGGTGCTACAGGTGCCCGCATTTGCATCCCGGCCTCCCTAACTGTAGCCGGAAGTTCCGGCGACGAACTAGCAAGTAGTGCGTCAGTGTGGTCGTGGGTTGATCGAGTCCGCCGGAAAAAAATCGCAGTCCTGCGGGATTGCCGGGAAGCAGGAGTAGTCAGGCAAGCCCAAGCACCATGACCGAGAGGGTGCGTGTGTCTGCGTGTCCGCGTGCGCAGAGTCCGCACCCAGACGGCTTATCGAACCCCCGCCCTACTCACCCAACAGGAGCAACTTGATGTCCTTGGCAGCCTGGATGCCATCCTCTTTGAGGTTCTTTTCGATCTGCTTGCTGCGAGCCAGGGCCGCCCGCTCCTCCGCCGAAGAAGTGCACCCCATCCTGCAGGTTCCCTCCGTGCAAAACGTCGCGCCGGCTGATGGTGTCTTCCGTGGCCGAAACTCGCACTCACTTCCAACTAGCACCGGAGGTTGCGACGTTGCCTCCGTCCACTAGACATAGCACAGATTCGCGCCGCTATCACTTCTTCCTTCTACCGATTCGATCTATCAAACTCTATGTGCACCAGAAATTTTGACACAACGGAGCTCGACGCGTCCGCCTCGAACGCACATTCGCTCGATGCTGGGCGCCGGCAGGTGCGCAAGCGCCGACAATACGCATGGGCGCCGTCGCCCTCGACTACGATGCGTCGTCGACGCCGCCGACGCCGCCTGCTACCATCAAGGTCTTCTTCAGCTATCCGATACCGAGCGACGGTCACTCCGCTGGTCGTTCGCTTTGTGCTTTGTTTGATAACTGATAAGCAAAAGCCAGCGGTCGACCCGGACTATAAAATCGCTATTTTGATATGATTGATGTGATGGTCAGATTTACGACCGGCTAAATATAGATCGAGACAGGAAAGTTAATTGAATTTGATATGAAATGAAGGATTGTTGACTTGTGAAGATGAATGCAAACACGGCGACTGAAACATGGGCGCCGATTTTTTTAACATGTCCCGGTGAGGCATCCGTTACGCGCAGAAAAGAAATCCCTACTTCTAATTAAATAAAATTGTTGAAATTTTTCACACTTACCTAGGCATTGGTAAGGTTCATTTCATAATTTTTTTGACAATTTTTCATTTACAAACAAAGCCAAAAAAAGTACTTTTCTCCGAAAATGTTGAATTATAATTTTTATACTGACCTACGCAGATTCACTTCCTGTAATTGTTTACCAAATTAGAAAAAAAATACTAATTAGATTTTGAATTAAACGCAATTTTCCATTTTAACTTTGAAAATCATTTTTATTTATGACCTGCTACTTGTGCCATCATAAATTTAAGTGACAATGAGGAACTGTAATTGTGGTAAGATTCCAAGATTTACAACAATAAGAGACTTCAAAGTGGTCGGCTACCAGTAAATAATTCTTTTGTTGGAAAATTATACCATTTAGTCATAAATCACGGGTCTGGTTTGTGTTTAAATAAAAAAGCGATTATTTAGCTAACCAAGTCAAAATTTGTAATTGTGATATCAAAGTTTGACAGATTCATTTAGTGTAAAAACTTTATAGGTAAATTAACGGAAAGTATTCATAAAACACACAAAATTCATTTATTATCAAAAAAATTAGAAAAATTCTCAAATATACCCTATCAATAATTAGATATACAGGTGCGCCAGAACTCGCGCCCCAGGGAAAAATGCCATATAAGCTACAGTGATGGACAGTGAATTTCGTCCACCCAATTTCTATGACAGATTAAAAGTGTAAATTAGTCTTTAGGTTTTCCTAACCTTGTTTCAGAATTTTGATTAACGTTTGTCATGTTGACAGAATGCTTGATGCTTCTTGTTACTTTTTACCTTTGTCCTTTGAAATGGTAGTCCTTGGTATGCCCAAAACTATAGAGACACGTCTTTGAGACATACCCTTTTGTACCAGAGAGATAATTTTTATTTTATTAAACGCACTTACTGCTGGCATGTTTGAATTTGATTAAATTTGACAATACGTATTTGAATGTCAGTTATCATGACAATAAAGCACAGACTACAGTGAATTTTTGTGAATTCACAGAAATTGGGTGGACGAAATTCACTGACCATCACTGTAAGATACCAGGAACATGGAAAAAATGTTAAAAAAAAATTATCTATAAAAATTTCGAAGTTAGGAGGGTTTAAAGTTTGCACTGTGACTATTTATTTCTGTTGGAAAAATAATTTTCCAAGTTTTTTTGCTATAGGCTATTAAAAGAGGAAACAAAGAAGCTGTATCCTAAGTTGTAACTCTGTTCATTGTTATTTGTGGCTTTTATTGGCAAAATTTTTGTCCCTTTACTAAATAATTGTAAAAAAACATATACAAGATCATCAGTATCATTAAATAGATATAAAAAATGTCAAATGTGAAAAAATAAATGTCAAAATTTTTTGACAGATAGAATTTTTTAAACATTTTTTTCATGTTCCTGGTATCTTACCTTACTTAAAAAATTTCTCTGGGGCGCGAATTCTGGCGCACCCTGTATGTAAGAAATATCGCCAGTTTTAATTAATTTGAAGTTGCGATTTATCAAGTTCGAGTAACCGATGCCCCACTCGGTATAAAAAAGAAGCGAACTTCTACAGCGACTCTTATTCTGGGATCCGTGGATCACAGAATGACCGCATAAATTTTCTTACATCAATACGTTTCTGAGTAACATTATAAAAGTTCACAAACCAGGCATACCAATCAATATAACAACACGTATTTTGGCACCAAAAGAAGTTTGAACTTTGTAGGGATTCGCTTCAAGAACATGACTTTTCATTAGGAGTCTGGCTGGCACTGCTCTGGCCAATGGTCCGAAAATAATCTTCTAACGTAATTTAATTTTGGTGTTTCTGGTAATTATTTTTTTGCGCTGAATGATTCTTTATGTTTTTCTAAGAGGACTAGACAAAAATTAGAGAATCAAAATTTTAACTATTTTTGCGTTTAAGTAAGTAAGGTCAAGTTAAATTTGTTAATTTTCGTTATTTTCATAATATGTATGTGGAAACTGGAAATGTGATTCTCACAAAGCACCTTTCATCGTTATTAGTAGTGTAAAAATGTACTTCTACATTAATTATCTCGTTTTCTTCGGATAAACATAGACAAAGTTTTCTAAGTGTCTACTAGAAAATAATTTCATCCTAGAAAACGGTGGGGTAAATACAATACAAATTGTATTGAAAAGAATCAGTACCAATTATATTAAGATCGGTTGGACAAAGAACCTATACTAAGCGTTTAATGTAATTTTGAGATACAGAATTTCCGGAAAATCGCGCACCTTCGTGACACTGTATCATAGAGCAATGCCCTAGACAACAAGAAAAACGTTTAAAAAATTCTATCTATAAAAATTTCGAAGTTATGAGAGTGTAAATTTTGCATTTTGACTCTATTTATTTCTGTTGGAAAAATAATTTTCCAAGTTTCTTTGCTGCAGGCCTAATGGCCTGCTTCTAATAAAGAGAAAACAAGGAAGCTGTATTCTAAATTGTAACTCTGTTTAATGTTATTTGTGGCTTTTACTGGCAACATTTTTGTACCTTTACTAAATACCTATAAGAAACTATCAGTATCATTAAATAGACATCAAAAATGTCAAATGTCAAAAAATTAATGTCAAAATTTTTTCAGTACCCAATTACTCCTTTTTAAGGAAGGGTGCAATTTTCCGCACACCTATATATGGTAAATTTCAAGATGATACATTTTTTCAAAATTAATTAAAATGAAAACACCTCTACCTATAGTGATTTAGCAATGCAAATTGCTCTTTCTCCCTACTCATGCATTATAATTAATTTAACAATCCTAATAAGAATAGCGGGTTTTCTCAATAGTGAATTTCGACCATTATACAGTCCGATCAAAAAGTCTGTCTATCAAGTAAGCCTAGAAATTTAAAACGTGTGTCTGCTGAAGATAAAATGTCACAATGACAAATAAGAAATGTCAAAATAATTTTTATGTAAACTGTAACAGCCAATTGTGGTGAACGATTTGTCTGAATAAACTGAATAAACACCAACTACATCTCATTTTAGGATGTTTTAAGACGCAGTAATTTTTGCCATCTAGCTGACATAGGTACCTACGTGCGAACTGCCAGGCGACATACGTCCTCAACTTGATAGAAAGACTTTTTGATCGCACTGTATTAATAAACCTTTTAACTAACTTGCCATTAACCACTTCTTAAATCAAGACTGTAACTCACAATAAACCCAAAATAGCTTCCACTTAATCATTTAATCCTTCACGGGTGCACGACGGATAGGGCGGAGTGGCTCCAAGCGCCAAATCCTAGGAGGCGCCTCAGTGGTAAAGAGAAAAATATTTTTTTTCCTTTTTGAAATTGTTTTTTCATTTTTATGAAAATTAAACAATATTGAGAAACAATATGTACAATTGTTCCTTTAATTCTTTTGTAAAACTTTGATCAATCAGTTCGAGAAAACAGTTTGATGGATGGATTTACAAATTTACTGGGCAATGGGGGGTGCATTAAGCTGTAAAAACACATAAAAACATCAATCTCTCCACCAATATTTGTAAAGTGGCGGTATATTTGCTAAAACAAGACAAAAAGTTACTTTTTTCTATTTCCTTTAAATCAATGTTGATTTTTCAAAAAATCGTTCAAGAATATTGTAAGACATTTATTCCAGTTTTTGAAACTACCCTTGCATTCTCTGTGCGGTCATTGGTTGTAGAAATGTCGATGATGAAAGACAAAAGGACTCTTTTTCACTTAAAGTCAGATATCTCAGCGATAAATTGATGTAAAAAAGCTGAATTAAGAGATGATCCGGCCTATGCATTGATGTAACTAAAAATAAATTAGTCCGTGGACCAAAAACAAAAAAAATATATTTTTTTTTCGTGTTATTTTTAAGATTGCGTGATAACTGTAAGAAAGAAAAAAATTTTGCCAAATGATCTCAAGACTAAAAACTTAAAGCCTCAAAATATTTTTTTAATCTAGATGCGACTATTTTTAACGAATAAGATACAGCCTTTCAAAAATCACCAAAACATTTAGTAAATTTTTTTGTTTCTTTAATTTTTTGGAGTGATGTCCGCTACAAAGGATTCGAGACGTTAGTATATTGAAAACAAGATTACTCTCTTAATATACAACAGAATTTCAAGTATTATACATCAAAGTTTTTTGTTTTTGAATTCTACAGGCCGATACGTTAAGATTTTTTAATAAAAATGTAATACCTTTAAAAAAAGAACAAAAATGCATAAATGCTGAACTTGAAAACAACTTTACTCAGTCATTTTTCAAGTAATCGATCTTAGTTTTTGTAGGATAATTTAAAAGAATATTCTATAGGCCGATGCGTTGGCATTTTTTTGAAAAAGTGTTTTGTTTTTGAGATATTGTGATTTATGTAAAAGTACAGATATTTAACGGTAGACCTAAAGATTCGTTAAGGTAAGCAAAGAGGAGCGCATAATTGTATCTCGCTCCATCCTAAAACTTGCCTTGGACCGGAACTGACGACGGATAAAAGTCTCTCCTAGTAGTACTGTTTAACTTCTGTTTACTTATTATTACTTTTTTTTTGATGAAAGCGAAGATAAAATTGAAATAGTAGAGAGGTGATTGATGACCAAGGGTTAGCAAAAGCTGAGATACGATGAAGTAGCTACCACCAAGGTTTCTATGTATACTACTTTATTCAATCAGCCTCCTTAAAGAACAGGAAGCGAATAAAAAATTTGTCAAATTTTGACGTACCTATGACAGTTCAGGTTCGGAAGTGAACACTTCCCAACTGAACTGTATACATGCTTCATATCAATTCTTAAAATGAAATATGTCATACTTTCCAACTTTTCACGTGTAGGGTAATTTGATTATTACTTTATGATTGTGAATAAAGAGAATGACTACTCGTATTTTGACATCTGTTACTTCTGAATGCTACAGACTAAAAAAATTAAGAAAAGAGACAAGTCCAAACAGATAGCTTAGAATTCATTTCAGTCATAAAATATGGTGGATACAAAATTGTTCATGCGGCCGTAAATTCAATGGAAAAAATATTTACCGAACTAATTCATTAAAACGATATTTTCCAACTACAAAATTATTACAGTAAAACATGCTTTAAAGTTTACAGGACGGGCGTACGAAATAAAACTTAAGTTAGCTTGATATAATACGGTTTTCCCTTAATAAGACTGTCTTATTAAAACTGTTTTAATTTGGATTTAAGATCAAACATTCTCCTCTGTTGATTTGCTACGACTCAAAAGTTTCTTAAACAAGTGCTTACTATATTTACAAGCAGTTAAAGTAGAGGATAAGTGGAAAGTGGAAGTAAGGTTCTAACGAGATAGCAGTAGCTGTAGTAGTAGTAATTTAGTATGTTAATTCATGTTTTTCTCAAGTGTGCACTTCTAACGCTTTTATTTATGAGAAGCACTCCTTATACATAAATAAACATGATAAGTAATAAGTACGGAATTTTGAAAGAAATACAGTCCCAGGCCAAATTATTAGACTCACTATTTGTTTTATTCAAGTTTTTTCGAAATTAATTAAGCTACTTTTATCTATTTACTTATCAATCAGTTTATTTACGTATAATATACAAAATATGTGCAAAAGATTTGAAACAAACATTTGGATAAACTACCCCTGGTTTTTAACAAAGCCTACTGTATTCCATGAGATGCCTCGGAATTTCTTTTAATTTCTCATTGTGATCCTAATAGCGAATGATTCTCTTAATAAAATTAACTCTGGTTGTAATTTTTTCTGTACCCAATTCAAGATGTTTAAAGACATTTCTTACGGGATGCATGTCGGGAGATTTTCCGGACCAACGTAGAACCAGAATTCTAATGTCTTTGAGGAATTATTTCACTGAAACAATTCTTTTTTATTGGTCGATTAACCAACAGACTCATAGCCTTCACTAAATTAAAATTACTTACTTAAAGAAATTCAAAATACCAAAAGTGAGTATAATAATTTGACCATCAGGGGCTGTAGATCTTAATAATATGTGCAAATAAAGTAAAAGATCAATTCTTTTTTTCTACTTATCTTCCATAAATAAAAAATAAGTTACCTATTGTAATAATTTAATACAGAATTCAAGTTCACAGTGAACAATTGAAAACTCTTAAATGTTTATTAATTACAACCTGTATTTCGCTGTTGTCATGCTGCTATAGTCGTAGTTATTGGGAAATGCAATTTGTAATCAATAAAACACAAATTAAGCTAAAAAATTATAACTTTATTTGTATCAAACACTTCGCTTCAAAACAACGTAATTTAAAAATATACATACATTTTAAGTACTTTCGACATTTCGATCAAACTTAAGATAATAAATACCTGAAATATCATCAATCCAATACAAAAAATAAGGGCTATATTTTTATTAAGATTATCATTTTTATTTTTTTATAACATTTTCCCATAGTTTTAAAATAGTAAAACAACGCCATCTACATGATTAACTTTTCACAAGACATCACTGCACGTACACAATCTTTACAAGACAAGAATTTATCACAATTAGGTATTATAATATTGAGGACAAGCTAGTGTTAGTGCACGATTTTAAATCACTTAATTACATTGGAATACAGCTGATAGTTTGTATTTATCTTGTATATTAAATCCTATTTTCAACCTGATAATTTCACTAAATAACAATCTACCACAAATGTATAACTTCCTTCTTAAGACTTTGAGGCTCAAAAATTATTCCCAAGAATTGTGAATTAGTAATGTTGGTTTCTGATATGATTTTCAGCGCATAAAAAGAGAGGAAATCTCAAAAGCAACAAAGGATAAATTCAGAAAATAAGTAAAAGAAAAAATATAATTAAATATTAGTTTATTATTTGAGTAATAACATAATTATGTATAACATATTTACAAATAAACTAAACTACTCATTATATCTACACCTCATTCAAAAATTTTATAAAACACCTTGAAAGTAGTCTCTTGGCAAAATTATATTCTTAGTAACGCCCAAAATAACAAACAAAAATCTTCTAGAATTCCAGATTAAGATATTTGTTAAGTGTCTTTATGTTTATTTACGTTAAATTAATAAAACTACAACAAAAAACATATAAAATGTAAGGTTTCCTTAAATTAGCCAATCAAAGACATAAAACCAAATAACAAACAAATAAATCTAGAAAAAAAAAAAATACACGACTTCCTCTCTAACCGATTGTAGTAAGAAATAAACTCTGTTCAATAAGTGGCGAAGTAAAACGACACAATTATCAATAATTTATTGGTTTTAAAATGTGATCCATGTTTTTCTATTGTGACGTTAATTTTGTGATTAAAACTTATAAACATCGCCATTCGTTTGCTATAACCGAGCATCGATCCTCTCTGCCAATAGCAATAATTTATAACTGCAACTGTTTAACTATTGGAAATAAGTAAGCTGTTCCTCTTGGACAAATTGATGCAACCAGTTAGATCGTCTCTCTGAAGAGAATGGCAGTCAGTGCATTATAATGCAGAAGGGCGACGAGATAGGTCACTGATCCAAGATGTCGACTAATGAGGCGAAGGCACACGAGCCGAGTCCCGCCGTGGACATCAGCTTTACCAGTTCATGGGCGTGCGCGATTGCGACTTCTAAAGGCGGTTTTCGGGGCTTTTTATTTGATTCTAAAAGAACACACATCTCACAAACTACCCATAAATCAACATCTTTTATATTACCTAAAATGGCTGAGTTAAGGGAAGCACAAATCGACTCTCTTTGCGAAGGCTGCAATTGCCAACCTACAGGACTCGCCCATGGATTTGAGTAAGCTAATAAACTAAATGCATCCTAGAAAAAGTAACAACAAATTATAACAACACCAAAGTGTGATGAAAAATTAACTCACTTCCAACATTTTTTGATTTGTCTCACTAGAATTTTTATCTACTGTCAATCGTTGGCTCATACTATATAATTCTCTACCAAACTCTAGAATTCGTTCGACTGCCGGCTTTGAACATGACTTCCGACAAACTGGCACATCAACCTCTGAAAACAACCAGAAATAAAATAACACTTTAGCCACAAAAACCCAGTTCTTTTAAAAACATTAAAACGATTTGCATAGTGCTTAAAAAAATTAGGACTGCCTTTTCCATTTGTTTTTTTTAAACCAAATCTCATTCTGAAATAGATTCTCATTTTAAAATTGACTTTTAATTAATTTCTAAAAATTAAAATTAATTTTTCCAACTTACCCATATCTTCGTCTTCATTATCACAGCAACCGTCATCCTGTGTGACGTTATTACTATGGCTATTACCATTTTGGTACCCATTGGTCGAATTATTTGATTTGCCATTGCAGGCGTCTCCGTGACCGTTTCGGAACTCCTCGGTGGTGTCCATTTCGACGTCGCCGTCGTCTGTGAATATTACGGGAACGTCTCTACAACTATTACCATTATGTGTCGGCGTCGTGTTATTTTGATTCATTTCTTCAACGCTTTGTTTCGATTTATTGCTATAACTTTTAGTCGATTGTATAACTGAAGTTTGGATTGGACTACTAGATCTAGGCGAAACCGAATACGACGGTGAATAACCACTTTTTCGATGACAAACCTCCACGTCTGAACCGTTTACCATTTCGACAAACTGACGACATTTGAGCATAAATAAGAGATTCTGATTCGACTCTAACAGGCCGGGGTAGAGCCGGCTAGTTCGCTCAATCGCTTCACCCATCCTACCGGCTAACACTAACTTTAGAATTTCTGAAAATAATTAAAAAATTCGTCAACTCTTTCAATAATTTAATTTTTTATGTTAGATTCGTTGAAAATCACATACGAAAACAGCTTTCAATTCTTTCTGTAATTAGGCACACAATTTTGTCAAGAATAATTTAGGTACATTTTTTTATTTAACTTAGATCAGAAGCAATCAAATCTAAATATTTCTAGCACAAAGTTCGAATAGGTTTTCTGTATGAATATTTACTCACGACTTGTGACACTCCCTGCATTAGTACAGACAATAAGTTTTTATACACAGTTTATTATACGAGATGTTTCGTTTTGATTGTGACAAATTTAAACAGGTGATAGAATATTAAATTTTAAGATAAAAGTTTCCTATGAACATGTATTGAAAAATATTATTTAGGGAGTTACACTCCCTGAAAGAGTTGCATGTTTTAATGGATTTTGTTCAATATTTCAGAAACCATTTTAGATAAACTTACAAGATTTGGTACAGTTGATTACCTTTACACACCTAAACGAATTCAAAGACGTAAACGGGGGAAGAGGGAGGTTAGATAAAAAGTACTCTTAACTATTTTAGCTGAAGTTTCTTATCATTTTCAGCAACAAAATTCTAAACTGCATAGTTTTTCACAAAAAAATCTCTCTTGCGTTTTTTTGATGTAACTTACCCTTTTTGAGTAAAATCATTTCACAATTTATGTTACAGACCCCGCACAGCATAAAAATTTAAAATTAAATTCGTTTTACTCTAAAGTCCTCCAGTTTAGAACACCCCTAAATAAAAATTTCGAAATTTGATCTTTGAATTCGTTCAGGTGTTTAAAGGTTATCAGCTGTACCAACTTGTAATTGTGTAATTCTATCTATTCTGTAATAGTGGAAAAACCCCATTAAAAACGCATCTCTTGCAGAGGGTGTAGCTCGCTTACGTAACATTTTTTGATACATGTTCATAGAAAACTTTTGTCTTAAAATTGAATATTCTATCACCTGTTCAAATTTGTAACAATAAAAACTGAACACCCTGTATATACTCTATTGAGCTATTACATAATATGTAAGAGTATAATAATACTTACTTTGTCGATTCTTAATTGATACTATGTCTTCGTTAAAAGGTTGTTCTGTTATGTGGGCGAAGGCCTCTGCTGTATTGCAATAACCATGATGGACGAGATAAGTTGATACCATCCTGTTGATAATCCCTTTTGAATTTTTTCCAATAAATAGCAATCAGAAAACTTACTTGTTTAGTATGGCCTGCCATTCACCGTGACTTTCTGGTACAAGAAAATCGTTAATTTCCATTCTAGTCCTCGTCCCCAACTCCCTCATCATGTCTTCGATGTCGAAAACGAATGGTTCCTGACCGAAGTTCGCATCAACCACTTCTCCAGGAGTTTGAAGGCCTACCGTTGGGTACAAATTCGGCTACAGAATAAAAAAATTATAAAATAAAACTCTTGAACGTAAATTAAATGACGTAAGACACTTGGAATGGACTTAATCTAAGTGTTGGTTGAAATTACGATATATTTACTTCCGTGAACATTTGAACAATTCTTTGATAAAAATTCGAAAAGCAAAGCGCACAAAACTATTTATTGTGTCGTTCTTCTGCTTTGGACCAATTTAATATCTTCCAAATCAATTTTAAACTAAACATTTCTTATTATCCATCATCACAAACTGCTAAAATCTTTTACGTATCACGTGAAACTGAATTCAAATGTCACAAAAAAGGTCATCACAATTTGGAAATAGTGCATTTTTAAGGATACCGTCAACGACAAAGGATAAAGACTTACAAGACTGCGAAGAAATTTAAAATATGATTTCTTTTTGATTATTTTTTTTTACAATAAGTGTAACCTTCAGTTTAGTAATCACAAAAATTGCACTGCTATAAAAATAAAGCTCTTCTGTGTAGATTTTAAGTAATTCTTTATGATTTTGTGATAACAAACATTCTCAAATAATCTACCGTATTTCTTTTCTTTCTAGTGCAAGATTGTTGATTGTTGTAAAAAAAGGAGTAGGAAAACCAATACATTATGACCTCGTTTTTTTAATAAAAACTGTCTTATTTGTAATATTAATTTGTGCACAAATATAAACAATCCAAGTATGTTATATTAGCATTACATAAACTTACACGTACGTTAATAATATTGCTAGTAATGTAATAATAAACTTGTATTTTCAATTATTCATGATACGTGTATTGGTATTAGGTACTATCGGTAGTTTAATTGTAAGCAAGAAAAGTAGTTATTTTATTAGGTATCCAAATATTGGGTTTAAAGTAGCTACGAGTATATTACATAGTGCCTTATCAATGTTACTTTATAATCATTCTGACGTAAATTTTTCGTGTAGTAGTTTTAATTAATAATTTTTATAGAAAAAAACAGTTATGACTTAATTGTCTTCAGTCTAAAACTGATTAAGATTGAATTAAATTTTTTTGCTATCAATTACAACTTCTTCCATAAAGTTAATTACTAGAAAACCGCTAAGGTTTTGCTATTGTGTTCAATTTTTCCAATTTAATCAAATAAAAATTAAATAAATGGCTTCAGAGTACTGTTTCTTATTCTTATTTCGATTAGCTGCAAGCAGTGAACGCAACATTTTGGTTTTCAATAAAAGTTTCACATATAGTCGATACACCAACTATGACTTTCTGGGTTTACAAACAATAAAAAGGCAATAATATTCTTAATCAGTACTGAAGTAAAAAGGTTACTCATGTGCAACTACAAAATACGTTATTACCTAAATCTATAAACAATTCAATCGTTCAATATTTATTTATTGTCCTGTTTCAGCAAAACTAACGTATAACCTATTTTTTGTGATCACAAAAATATTATTTAAATATTATTTGAATTCCCGGTTTCTGTTGACCAAAAAAAAAATGCCCATCACAAACAACAGGGATCAAGTCATCATATTTTAACATTTCTTAGTGCTATAATAGAAACTACGTTTTTGTAGTACATATTTTGAAAAGAACGTATTAAATTGGACTTTAATAATGCTGTAAAAATTTGATTTGTTTTTTTTTAGTTTAATAATTAAACGGTATTTAAAAATGTAGATTGTGTGTGGAAATAATAGTTTACAACAATTTTAAAGTATGTTTATTTTTTTAAGTATATTAATTAAGACGATAGTGACAGAAATTCTCTTACTTTTTGATGTAATTTTTTTGAATACCTGCGTATCATTTTTTGTTAGTAGACTACTAAAGTGGATGAAACAAACATGACGCTGGGAAAACAACCAATCAAAGTGCATTGTCAATAAACCTTGGTCGCGAATTATGAGATCAATACCCCGTACGGAGACAGTACTATTTCCGTGTAATGAATGTTATTATCGGCGTCCATCGTCGACGACGACTTACAGGCAAATCTGTGAAGGCGGTACCGAGGTGGTGTCCGTTTTTCGTGTAAAAGCACGTGTTATCGATGAGGTTGACGCCGCAACCGATGACGTCTCCTGTCGTAAAGGTCGGTCCGTACGGCTGGCCGGTGCCAGACGAGCAGAACGAATGGCCGTCGTCGCCGTGATAACCATACGACTGTTTGTCCCAGCCTATAAGAACTCCACCTCATTAAGGATACTTCGATTCCTACGTCTCCACGTACTTGTATTACCTGGCAATCGGTTCATGTTCACGCCTTGGGCTGATAGACCAATGCCCATGTAGCCGTCGCGACCTTTGCTTACAATCTTCACTTCGAAGTAGTAAAGGCCGCAAGCGGCAGGAATGGGATGCGTCGCTTGGACGCTCGCGGCATCTCTGTGGGTTTTGCCGTGTCCTAAAATAAAAATAAAAAACATCAAAACAGTTTTTATTTCTCAAAAAAAAAAAAACAGAAATTTATTATAAATAAATAAACCGTCTATTACATAGGTGTTAAAAATTAGATGCTTGTGTATAAGATGTTCAAGATTATTTAATATTTTAACTACTAATCCTGAAGATTAAAAGAGACCAGAACAGCTGAAAAAATTCCTGTTATAAAGATTTCTCCTACATATTTTTTATTTTCCTTCTGACATTTAAATACTACTTCACAATTTTTAATAATATTCTATGACTTATTTTTCGTACTATTTTTTATTTAAATATAAAAATAAGTCAACAAAAGACTTGTTTAAATAAATAACAAAACCGTAATGAAGATGAAAACAACTTTAATATTTACAACTGTTCCGATAACAACTATTTTTTTATCTATGGTAGAAAACTAGTTATAACCGGGCCTAAAAACATTGCTGTTCTTATTATAATATTACAATAAATTCCGAAAATATAAGTAGTACCTAAGTTACATGTAAATCTAAAATAAACTGTTGTATGAGTTCGGAAGACGACTAGCGAAGCGAAGAGTGCTTTAACAGAATTTAGTCATCATAAAAGTTAACTGTCAAGTTGTGTAAAAGCTTAGTAGAAAAATTATGTAATTAATTAATACTATATGTACTTTATTGTAGGCAACAAACAATAAATTCTACAAGGTTCAATTTTCAATTGATTAAGCTCTTCCTTTTCAATGAAGCTATCATTAATATAATACGATACTGCACAGATCAATAAAGTAATCGTCTTTTTAGTAACTGAAAATATAATTTGCAAATAAATTATTTAAAAAAAAAACATCAAGCAACAAGTTTTAAAGCAATCTCCAGAGTAATTAAAAAAAATACGTTCATTTAAAAAAAAACATCAGAGATTGGAATTCTGGAACCTAGATTTCCAGAAATTATCTATACAATAAGGTAGTTACAATGTGAAAACATTTCAAGTGTTGATGAAAAAACAGTAACAGTAATAGGATAAGATCGAAGAAGCAGGTGTTTACATTTTAACGTTGTAAGATGACTTGCAGAAACTTTCCCCATTACCATAAGTCTGTCTTAGATTCATACATCCAAAAAAAGGGATTTATTTGTTTTCTCGGATTTGTAATGAATGAGTGAATGAATGTGTCTCGAATATGCAAATGGTGATTGTTAAAGTTGGTAATAAAGCTATTTATTTGTAAAATTAAAAATATAAATAACATTATCAATACAGAAATCTATAAAGGATGACCCCAGATAGACATTGCTTCATAAGTGCAAAGAAAATTGAAAAAAATAATTGAAGTTCTTGCGACATATACGAATATGTACATACTTGTCAATATGTTACATATTAACAAACAATTATTTCTAAATTTTTAACTGTGCTAAATCTCTGTTTGAAGATACATATAGTGATTAATGTGAAACAAAAATAAAAGTATTTTTTATCTTCGTTAAAGAGTTACAGCTTAGCAAATAGTAATAAAATGAATTTTGTAAAAGTTGGTCGTGATAAATTAAAAACGATGACATTTATGAAACAATTGCTTAGTTCCAAGTCTCATTTAATTGATACTGTCAATTTGTGTACTTAATTATTATTATGTCTTTACTTAATTTTTATTTTATTTTTCCAGTTAAATAACGTTTTAGAACTCATATTTATGTTTAATACCCGTGCTATAGCCATCGCCTCACTGGCAACGTCGCAACTGCGTTTTTTGAGGTGAAATAGTCCAGAAACATTTGATTTCTGTGTAAAAAAAAAGATCTGTGTTACAACTGAACCTTACTGAAAAATTTTAAGCCTTACATACAAAAAAAAACATTGTGAAAAGTAACAGAAGTGATGGTGGCTGTGACACGACTTCTTATATGCCACATTGACAGTACAATTAAAGGAGATTTGGAACTAAGCAATTGTTTCATAAATGTCATCGTTTTTAATTTATCACGACCAACTTCTATAAAAATCATTGATACTCTTTGCTAAGCTGTAACTGTTTAACGAATAAAGCTAAAAAATATTTAATTTGTCGTTCTCAGAATGACATTTTTTATCACTGATTGACGTATGGCGGTTTGCTTTTGAAACACCTGTAAATATAGGGTGGGCCATCTGTTGGTTTCTTTTTAAGATTGTTATTAAAACTACACTATTGAATATTTTTGAATGATTGTTGCTTTGTTCAAGAGAGTACACCTTCCGATTATTTATGAAGAACTATTTCAGCTAAATGACTGCCGCGGTTGGCTTGGCAGTAGCCCATTCTCTTAACCCAATTTTGCAATACACTGTCGATTATTTGTCTCTATTTCACGAATAGCTCGATGGATGTTTTCTTTAAGTGCGTCAATGGTTTATGGATCGTTGGAGTAACAATGGTCTTAGCAATTTTATTTATTTTTTTTGCATTCGATAACTAAAAGGTTCAAAGAGTTTTTTAGAATTTTCAAAATTGTCAACTGTCAAATTGCAAGGCTAGTATGATTTTTTGAAAATGATCTTTAACAAACAGTTATAACTCAGTTTTTTTTAAATAAAATGACTCTATTTTCTGAACGGCAATCAAAAGTACATCAATTTGTAGGACTTTTATCAACATGTCCTATACCTATCTCTTACAGTTTTTGAAATAATCACAAAAAACATGTTTTGTTTTGTTTTTTATTTTTATAGTTAATCACGTAGGCTTTGGAAAAATACAATAAAGAAATGCCATAATTAATTCAGATGTTCTATAAGTTTACCATTTTCAAACAGTATAAAACTCGAGGGTGAACTGATTGAGTGGATTCCATTATTTCATTTGGTTAAAGATTATTAAATGCCGCCTCAATCCTTGCCTCTATTCTTTGTAATTCCGGATGGGTGTTGTGTAGACTAAATCTTTAATACATATTGATTATTTTCCAAAACCTACGTGACTAACTATGTATAAAAATAAAAAAAACACGTTTTTCGTGATTATTTCAGAAACTGTAAGAGATGGGTACAGGACATGTTGATAAAAGTCCTTCTACAAATCGATGTACTTTTGATTGCCGTTGAGACAATAAGGTCACTTTATTTGAAAAAGCTGAGTTATAGCTGATTGTTAATTATCATTTTCAAAAAATCAAATTAGCTTTGCAATTTGACAATTGACAATTTTAAAAGATTTTAGAAAACTCTTCGAACATTTGGTTATCGAATGCAACAAAAATTATTCACTTATGGCAAAGGGCAGGACCAGTTTGCGGCGATGGTCAAATTATTAATCCTTGACCAGAAGGGTCCTAAAAAAGGTGACGGCTGGATTGCGGCCGTGAAAGGCAGGTAGCAGGATTATCTTATAATTTCTCCCACTGCGTTTTGTAGATAATGATTGTATGTAATCCCGAGAGTAATCTTAATAAAGTTTAGGTAAAATAAGTTTAATTTTGGTATTAATAAATATTTTATTTTCTTACACTATATGTATGTACAAAGTGATCCACTAATTTTTTAAAGCTTACCATTGAAGTACGCTATTGATTAACCAATACTTCACCAATCTTGAGGGGTTGTACGTCAAGTATTTGTCAAGCAAAACCGTATCCGGTTGCAGTGTTTCAAGTTATTAACAAAAATACTTTCAAATCTGTTATCAACAGACTGAGTCTTTCTGGATCACTTCGTGTATGTATGCAAAAGTCTTGTACAAAATTTATAAACAAAAATAACTTCTTAATAAGAACAAACCATAGTCTGGTAATATAATTGATCGCAAAGGGTTCAAGAGCTAAGATGTTTTAAATGAACCTCTGCAAATAAAAATTTTGACCCAAAAATTGACATGTCAAAAACTGTGACAGATAAGTACTAACAACTAAGTACATTTTATTTAGTTTGGAGAGGAGAATTCAAAAATACAATAAAAATAAGTGGTTACCATTTAAATTTCAAAGTTGGCGCCAATTTCTCGTAGTTCCGGAAGTTCAGTCATTTTGAAAATAATTTAATTGAACTTAGACTGGTCGATTTGGGTTGTATACAAAATTTCAAATTCGTATCTGCATTGGAAGTTAAAAAAGTTCTAATGTAGACCCTAAAAGAATCACCTTGTATACCTGTCAATATGTCAGGCGCGTCAGTGTTGCGAATGTGAAAATAACACTTTAAAAAGAAACTAAATAGCACTTTAAAAAGAAACTAACAAATGGCCCACCCAGTATACATAAATTTAGCCGATTACAATACTTTCCTTATAGGATAAGGAAGCAGAGGTATACTGGCAAAACAAGTCAGCTTATATGGCTTTAAAAGCTTTGTTAGTTAATTCTCCCTAAATTTTACTAGTATGATTTGATTTTATTGACAAAATGCCGACATTTTAAAAGTGGCACTTGATAGAGTTCAAAAGTTCAGCTAAATGTGGATGTCTCAACATGCGACTTGGAGATTGATTTTCCTCGAAAATATTCGCGTGTTGTCACACACATCTCCCGTCAATAAAAATGAATCAACTCTAATTTTATCAATTCAGAATTTCTATGAAGAAATTGTTGTCAATACAACTAATGTAAATCAAGCCTACGGAAAGTTTCTTTAACATTTTCTTCTAATCTATATCTTAACCCTTGACAAACCTGTTGAATTAGGCAGCCGTATGCAAGAATTAACTCTATCGGCATTTCTTTCCAAATATGCGTTAAGACCGTTTAGTCAAAGTTTCTAACTTTGTGAATCCAAGGCCACCGACCTGGGGGTTGGACGAACATAAATGCGACCAAGAGGGGCTTGTCTGGAACGCAGATCCAATACCACCTGTCTGGCGAGTTCTTTGCCCTTATAATTGAGTGCGAAGGTCTGTTACTACTGGCAATTTTAATATTTGTTAAAAATAATGATTCGACATTTCAAATCATTTGCTGAAAATGTGCTCCCAAATTAGATAAAATAAACAGTTCTCGAGAATGATCAAAATTGAAAAAAAAACTAATTGAT